TCCATGAAATGACCTGACCATGATTAATTGTAATGTGCCTGTAATACCTAGTTCACACTACAGGATTTTAAGCCCGATTTGCAAGCTAATGAGCTCACCAACAGGTCGGGCTGTGATCAGGGGAAAATCAGCGGGTGATCAGCGCTCAGCAATCTTTTATGTGTGAACTACTCAACGACGCATCAAAGAGGCTCGCTGACACGTCGCCGACGACAAACGAATATCTAGCATGCTAAATATCTGGACCGGTCAGCCGACTCAACATCACGTGGTGTCAGGTGTCGCGTCGAGCTACAACCAATGAGAGAGCAAGGCATGGGTTGAGTTCCGCAGAAGAAAAACAGCAGCAGCAACACAGATTTAAGAAGTTTGGAAACAAGAAATTAAGTTAATTTTTTTCATCGCGCAAACAGCTTGTAGCACTAATTTCTTCCCGTTGTTCATTTCAAATAAACAACTCCCGTTTCACTTTTTAATATGTTTTTTCGTGACATTCCCGTTCAACTTCTCATGTTTGTTTTTGTGACAAAACATGGTTTGGGGATGGGATAGAGTCGTTGGGTGACAGAGTTGTTGTCAGCTCGTGTAGTGTGTGAGCCCCTGTTGTAGATCATTTATGTAATGTTGTGTAGTGTGAACACCATAATGACTTCAAGAGAGACAGCAAGTCATGTAGTCTGAACAGCAGAGCAATCTGCCGATGTTTTAATTAGTGTAGTGTGAACTAGGCTTAACATGAAATATGAATTGACAATTACGAAGGAGTACAAATGTAGCACAGCTAAATATATCTCTTGCATAGATCTGAGATTGGCTTGATACCAGTTTTACGCTGTGCTAGAAGTTCTTCAGTCAAAGGTTTTTCAAAACTCAATTACAATGAATGGCTGGTATAGTGTCCCATTTAGAGTCTTTAGCATTCTTTTAAAGTAAATTTCATGGCCAAATGATAAATACATGTATCAGTGTAATACATTATGTGAAAAGTTAATGAATCAAATGTTTTAGATCCAGTCTTCACTATCTCTCTCTGTCAGGATGTGCCAGATATTGGTTTGATATTCAAAGCAGTTAAAGGGATAGTTCACCCAAAAATAAAAATTCTGGCATAAGACCTTCGTTCATCTTCGGAACACAAATTAAGATATTTTTTATGTGATCTGAGGGCTTTCAGACTCACCATAGACAGCAAGCGAACTACCCCGTTCAAGGCCCAGAAAGGTACCAAGAACAACGACAAAATAGTCCATGTGACATCAGTGGTTCAACCGTAATTTTATGAAGCTATGATAATGATTTCTGTGCACAAAAAAAAACAAAACTTGACAACTTTATTCAATGATTCTTCTCTCCGAGTTACCATCTACCGCCATTATCGAGAGTAACACGACGCATGCGTGTTCTTTCCTCTGCATGTAAACAAGGCGCAACGCATGTGTTGTGTTACTCTTGATAATGGCAGTAGATGGTACCTGAACTAGTAGAATTGTTGACTGAAATTTGTTTTCTTTGCGCACAAAAAGTATTCTTGTATCTTAAAATTATGGTTGAACCGCTGATGTCACATGCACTATTTTGTCAATATACTTACTACCTTTCTGGGCCTTGAACGTGGCAGTTCCCTTGCTGTCAATGGGAGGGTCAGAAAGCTCTCGGATCTCATCAAAAATATCTTAATTTGTGTTCTGAAGATGAACGAAGATCTTATGGGTTTGGAATGACACGAGGGTGGGTTATTTCGTGCTATAACTATTAAAGAGGAATAGATAATCGGTTCACGTGCGGCTTGAACTGAGGCACAACAGCGATCTGTCATGACAAATTAAAGAACCACAAAACACTATTGTTATTTGAATTTCTTTAAAAAAAATGAGTAAATTTGAAAACGGACACTTTGTTTTATACCAAAAATAACCTGCTGTGTCTTGTCTTTTGGCATGTTGTCAGTGTCCTCTGTGCTCTGCGATATATTTCTTACTGCATGAGAACGTGATGTGTGGAGTGAGTGCCATGGCTTGTTGGACGTAGCAACAGTAACTAAGGGGGCAGGTCTTTTGTGATGGGTCAAATACTTTTCTGAATAATGATAGTTAGCATTCAATTTAATTGTTTTTTATATATAAAGACAATACTTTCAATGTCATTGTGTAGAGCAGGGTGGTGAACGCCGGTCCTGGAGAGCCGCAGTCCTGCAGAGTTTTGCTTAAACTCTAATCAAACACACCTGAACAAACTAATCAAGGTCTGAAGGGTTACTAGAAAGCTACAGGTAGGTGAGATTTTATCAGGGTTGAAGCTGAAGTCTGCAGGACTGTGGATCTCCAGGACTGGAATTAGGTACTGAATCATTTTAAAGTAAGTAAACTGCATTGTTCAATTACATGACTCTGATGACCACAGAGTTAATGCATTTCACAAGATGCAACATCCGCCTGCAGAGCGCGCTCTCATCTGCTGCTGTAAAGCCTTCATCTGTTCACGGTGCTGCTGCATCATCATAGCCATAGACTCCTCATTTCTCTTGCTGGAGTTCTCTAACAGCTCTGCAAACTCTCGAACTCTATTACTCTCAGCTTCAGCGTTCTGTCTCTTGAACTCTTCCATCTCCTGGCTCATCCTGTCAGCCTTCTCCTGAAAGCCCTTCTCCAGCAGCGCGGCCTGCTCCCTCAGTTTGCTGTCCATGGCACGTTGGGCCTCCTCTCTCTGAAGCCTCATCTCCTCATCCATCTTCTCCTTCATCTGTATCATCCGCTCTTCATTACTCTGTCTTTCTGCTTCCATTTTCTCTTGCAGCTGTCGCTGTGTCTCCTCTTTAGCTTTGATTTTCTGCTCCAGGATGACCGCTTTCTCTGTTTCCTCTGGTCATTGACGAAAACAGGAGGAAGGAAAGGATGCTTTAGAGATAAAAGACTGAAACCATGAGATTAGCAGTCTATTTTACTGTAAGGCAGATATGAATTGCAAGGTAATATTTTGAATTACTCAGTACACTTCTATGAAAGACTTTGTTTTCTTTTATGGAGCACTTTTTTGAGTCAATAACTTACTGAATGTGACATTTTTGAAAGCAAAATTATTCTTGGACCCTTGAACCTCCTTCTATCATTTATTGCTACTCTTAGCTGCATTTTAAACTGATCAGCTAAAAAAGTACCTAAACCTTTGAGCACCTCTTTCACAAGTAACCTGGTAATAATTTAAGAACACAGTGACTGTGTATCCATCCTTCAGCTTCTTCACATCACTCTGGTCAAAAACAAACGTGCAGAAACGTCCTGTAACCTCCTGGAACTCAGTGGAAAGGTCAGCAAGATCCAAGCGCTCCAGATGAGACACATTCTCTGGGGCGATTGGAAAAGGGAAAGTAAAGCACATCCTGGAGGGGAAGAATTTTTGAATGCACTCCCTCGGAAGGTTGTACTCCATCACTTTTTTTGAAGTTCCTAGAACAGATGAACACATGCTGTAGCTTTTCTCAGTTCTAGAGATTTGTAAAGTTAAAAAAGAGTGTCTGTCCTTTGAGCAGAGTTTAGCTGTTTCAGCTACTCATCTGGATCACATTGTCACTGGATGTCTCTCATTTTTTTCTCTACTTTGAACCCTTTCATCCACACTGTATTACAAATTTATGCTATTATCTATAGCAGTGGTTCTCAATTACAGTCCCCCCCCCCATGATAACCAGCTCGTTAGAAGAGAGCTCCATGCATGATTGTTCATTGCTCCCTACTCCCTGAGCACAGGAAATCTGTTGAAGTTTACTTCATTTCAGAACATTAATTCATGGATTTGCACTACGCCACGGCTTGTAGCTTCTTCACACACAGGTGAAACTTACTAGAGAAGTATGAAGTTTGACGTAATATACCTCTGTAAATAAATACAATTTAAATTCAGGTCTCACACACTTTAATGCACTTTGAATGGAACACATAAGCTCCCTTTGAACTGGAATCATAGCGGAATATCCTGTAATGTCCACTTCGCAGGGCACTTATAGTCGAATAGAACAAATGTCTGAAGTTTAACTGTGTTGAGTCACGAGGACTGGAATTGAGAACCACTGATATAGAGTTGGCATAGGGAGAACACAATCTGCTGTGGATGAACAACCCTGGCTCGGGGAGTAGATATGTTGACTGTGAGTTTTCACAGCTTGAATCCCAGTTTCACCTTACCAGTTGATGAAGTGTCCTTGGGCAAGACACTGAATATCACTTGCTCCTCATGGTTGGGTTATGGCACCCATGACCACTTTTTTTTAATCTAAGACTGAAGTTATGCTTCTCAGTTTTCCTCACCAGCTCCATAACATTAGCTCAATACCCCTTACAACTATTGATGGCTCTGTGCTGAATAAATCTGAATCTGAATCTTGGAGTGATCTTGGATTCTTCTTTGACATTTAACCCCCATGTGCAATATACAGTTAAGATTTCCTTTTTTAAACTTTAGACATATTGCAAACTTGGATCCTATGCTATCCTTTTCAGTAGCAGAAAAACTGATTTGAAACTGATACCTTTGTCTTTTTTAGAGAAGTCACTTTAAACAAATTGCAGTACCCCCAAAACTTAGCAGCTAGGTTCTTACACTTATACCACTTATTCTGGTTCTGTTTAAGTAAGATTAAGTTTGGAAAAACTCATTACAAGAGCTCATTGTGATAGTGATTGTAAGGGCTCTTAAAATAATATTTTGTACTATATTTAAACTACCATGTTTCAGCTTCAAAGCGAACTCTAGGTAATCATTCTCTGTTGCATCTTTGCCATCAATCTTTCGCTCCAGGGTGAAGTCCCTCACAGCCCAGATGAAACTAGGGAAGAACTTCACAAATTCACTTGAATCATCAACATCCTCGTCTGATGATTTGACCTTGATGCACTCTGTTAGTTCAGTAACATATCTGACAGTTTGTTAAGGTTTGAACACAAAGTGACTGTCCAACATGATTCCATTAGTATTGTATGTATTTTAAACAAAAGTGTTGTTCTATCATGTACATTTACATAGACAATAAAATGTATAATACTGATTTAACAGCATCTAAAACATAATTTACGAATAAACAAATTTACATATGTACACATTTACAAATACACTGAACAAAATTATAAATGCAACACTTTTGTTTTTGCCCCCATTTTTCATGAGCTGAACTCAAAGATCGAAGACTTTTTCTATGACTCTCGCACTACACACTGTTGCACATCACCCCGGCCTACATTTCCCATCATGCATTGCACTGATTGCACTCAGCACGAATTGCACACACCTGTTTACACTGATTGCACCCAGCTGTTTCATATCACTCCCTCACTATTTAACACTCACTCTGATCCCTTCCCTCTGCCGAGTATTGTTTCAGCATTTATCACTCCCCTAGAGATAGCTACCTTACGGAGCCCTAGTCATTTGCCCTAGTCCTAGTCATTAGCCTTAGCCCTAGTCATTAGCCTTAGCCTTAGCCCTAGTCATTAGCCTTAGCCCTAGTCCTTAGCCTTAGCCCTAGTCATTAGCCTTAGCCTTAGCCTTAGCCTTAGCCTTCTCGGTTTCTGATCTTCGCCTGGTTCCCTGGATTCACCCCTTTTGTCTTGCCCCTTTTGATTCTGTCTGCCGATCGTCGACCTGCGCTAGCCCTAGGACTATTCTTGTGTTTTGCTCACCATATACCTGTTTGCCATCATCTGACCCCTGCCTGCTGTATGACCACGTCTCTGTCTTCTCCAATAAAAAGCTCTGCGAATGGATCCGCAAGTCTCACGTCTCGTCATCCCCGTAACAATGGCACAGGACCGTGCACAGTGGAAATGGAGTGTCAGACGTGCATTGGACACCAACGGGCGTGAGCCCATGGAATGATGGATGGATTACATAATTTTAAACAAGAATACTCTTTAAAATCCTACAATGAATGTAATATCTGTAATTGTTTAAACATTTAATTGTTTTACTTATGTAATGTTTTATATTTGTATTGTGTTTTATTTGTTTCATTGTTTTTGCCCAAAAATAAAACTTGACATGCAGTTTGGGTAGTTTTCGACATTTGGCACAACAGGTTTGCTTTGCTGTAAATGATAAATGGGCAACTGACTTATCAATTCGCATGACCCATTCCTTACGCATTATGAAATTATGACTATGTCGTTACGTCCTCGCTATTTTCCTCATGAGTTAACACAAGTGACCATCCATGATTGTGCCTCTGATCCTGATAATGCTCTTGCAGCTAAACGCATTGCAGACAACTATAACAAGGAACCCAGTATATATGAAATGGTAAAAAATGTTAACTATATAAATACATTTATTATATAAATGACCAATGACTTCCGGGTGAACGCTGGCGCTATTAGCTGCCGCTGTTCAGGGAGGGAATTTTAAACTTTTTAGTACTTCTAAATATTCATGCACTTATGAATGCATGAATGCATTTATGCACTGTTTTAAGGAGTCACTCTGATTTGTGTATCCGCTCTGATTCGGTGGGTTTGTACGCTGGTTGATCTGCGTGTTGATGCTTTCTACGGTTGCCGGTCTGCATGCCGGTTACTGACCTGTTTCTTCGTGGTACCTCTCTGGCACAGGGATCAACTATGAAGATCATTGATCTATTGGTGCGGATTAACTACATCTGGGTCGTCCTTTCTGCTGTATACCATTCTGTGCTATGGATGATGCTCCAGTATTCGGCGGCGGAACTTATTCAGCTCCATTTGCATCCTTTTAATCTTCTGTCAGCTCTGCATCTTCCCTCGGATATTGTGTACATACAACGTCGGAAATATATACATCGTGGGTCTCGGCGAAGTTATAACATCGATGACTCATGTCAAATACGGTCTTTCTGGTCAGCTAAACCACACTCGGCGAGGAGGCTCACATGGACTGTTGATCATGGAGTATTAACCAACCTGGCAAGATCGGTTGGCAACGATTCTGGTAAAAACAATCTCTCTTTTGGATTACTAAATATACGGTCACTTTCCACTAAAGGACCTCTGGTGTATGATCTGTTGTCTGACCGTAAGTTTGACTTTCTCTGTTTAACTGAGACATGGCAGAAACCAGCTGACTTTTTTCATCTAAACCAGTCTGTTCCCCCAGGATATGGTTATGTTTGTAAATCCTGTGTTACGGTACGGGGAGGGGGGCTAGCGATACTTTATAAAGAGAAATTGAAAGTATCTGAGTTAACTTTGCCTGCATATTCGCCTGCATATGAATGGGGTGATTCCTACCATCCTCACAACTATTTACCACCCTCCCAAGAGCAATAATGTCTTTTTAACTGAACTTTCTGAACTCTTGACTTATCTATGTTCCATGTCTCCAAATGTTATTATGCTGGGTGATTTTAACATTCATATAGATAATGTCAGTAATGCATTTACAAGTGAATTTTTATCATGCTTGGATTGCTTTGGTATGCAGCAATTTAACACACTGCCCACTCATTCTAAGGGGCATACTCTTGATCTTGTTTGCTGTTCTGGTATAACACCTTATAATTGTACTGTTTCTGATCTGTCCATATCAGATCACCTGTTGGTGTCTTTTTGTGCCCAACTGGCAGTTTTTAAGGTAAACCCGTGTCATCCGATCACATTTCGGAATAGTAAGAACATTGATGTGCCTACCCTTACTGTTGAACTTGCCAGCTTTTCCAGTAAATCTGATTTCTCTACTGTTGATGAACTGGTTTCATATTACAATGATGGACTGAACATGATTTAAGATGATTTTGTACCTTTGAAAGCTCGAACTGTTTAATTTGTACATTCAGCTCCTTGGTTTACACCTGAACTGCGTGAACTTAAAACTAAAGGCCGTAGGTTAAAGCGTTTGTTCATCAGGTCTGGCATTACTGTTCATAAAGAAATGTATGCTGAACATATTCAAAACTACAAAAATGCACTGTCCAAAACTAAATCTGATTATTATTGTAAAATAATTGGAGTCAGCAATGGGAACTCCAGGTTTCTTTTCTCTGTGGTAAACAATATTCTGCGACCTCCTGATTCTTTGCCATCTAATATGTATTCCACTGATTTATGTGATCGTTTTATGACTTTTTTTTGAGTCTAAGGTTAAAAATGTACATCAGCACTTGCTTAATAGTACTTTCCACCATGACTACTTTCCAGTCAATCTATCTCTCACGCACCTCCTCACTCTGTTTTCTCTACCTTTACACTACCGACTACTTCAGAGATAGTGGGTCTGATAAATAAATCCAAATCTTCAACTTGTCTGTTAGACCCTCTACTAACTCCTTTAGTGAAAGCTTGTTTACCAGCCCTGTCACCATTGATCACTAAAATTGTTCACGCCCCACTGGTTCTGTGCCTCCATCTCTTAAATCTATTATTGCTCCCATACTTAAGAAACCAGGGGCTGATCCATTTAACTTTGATCATTTTCGTCCAATTTCAAATTTACCGTTTATCTCTAAGATAGTGGAAAAGTGTATTGCAATTAAAATTCATGAACATCTTTCTTATAATAATTTGTATGAACAATTTCAATCTGGTTTTCGTCCCCACCATAGCACTGAGACTGCTCTTGTCAGAATAACCAATGATCTTTTGCTGGCAGCTGACTCTGGGCTTTTAACCATACTTGTCCTTCTTGACTTGAGCGCTGCCTTTGATACTGTCTCACATAAGATACTTCTCGACAGGTTAGCTTCTGTTGGGATTACTGGCACGCCTCTGTCTTGGTTTAGGTCGTATCTTTCTGGACGCACTCAGCATATTCAATTAAAAAGTTTCAGATCTAGAACATCTACAGTCACCACTGGTGTTCCCCAGGGTTTTGGGCGCGCTTCTTTTCATTATTTATATACTCCCTCTTGGTTATATTTTGAGGAAACATGATATTCATTTTCATTGTTATGCGGATGACACCCAACTTTACCTGTCTGCCAAACCCACTGGTTCTTTTCCTCCACCATCTTTGTCCAGCTGTTTAGCTGAAATTAAAGATTGGCTTTCAGCTAACTTCCTGAAGTTAAATTGGACAATGCTCTCAGATCCTCATCTTTAATTTCCCTTGTGGTACCTCGGATTCGACTAACTACCATGGGTGCCAGATCTTTTAGCTATGCTGCCCACCGCCTATGGAACTCCCTTCCCCCTGATATTCACAACAGCGATTGCCTGCTGACTTTTAAAACGCGTCTTAAGACATATCTTTTTATACAGGCTTTCTTACAATGTTTTATTGAGTCTTTACTGCACTTTATCTGTATATGCGGAGTGTTTGTTATGTGTTTTTATTGTGTAGTGATTTGTATTTTTTTTATCTTTGCTTGCTTGTGAGGTGACCTTGGGTGTTTTGAAAGGCGCCATTAAATAAAATGCATTATTATTATTATTATTATAAATCATTCATAAATTCTTGTTTCTATAGCTGTAAATACATAATAATGTTTACACTTTAGATGCTGTCAATGTGGCCAAATTGTGTGTTTCAGCAACAAAAAGTCAAGGGCCATGCACCTAACTAAATGGACTACTAATCATAATAATGGAGTTATGGTCTTCAAATGAAAATTATTTTAAACAAATCATCAACATTAACTAGAGGAAGAACTTTTGCACATGTATGAAAATTTTCTGTGAAATGTTGGTCAACATCTGAACAACTCCCTACACTTTTCTCTTTCTTTTTCAAAAATAAAAAAAATCTAGATAAATGTTCAGAAGGATACTGCAGCTCCTCTATAGTCCTGTTGTCAATTGTCCCTCGACTGTTGTAGACCAGAGTGCTGCTCAGTAACACAGCCAGACAGAAGATGTTGGTGTCATGCTTTGAGTCCCCCTACAATGCAAAACCATATTCGTGAAGTTAGAATAATAAACTGGAAATATCCTTGAATTTACATTCACATTCAACTCAATGAAAGGTACTCACACAACTACAAGCTATAATATTTAGTGCTCCATATAAACAGGGCTAATTCATCACATTCCCCGCCTCCACTTTACAGCAAACTAGCAAGCTAACACTAGACTGTTCAATACATCTGTTCATTCTCTAAAGCCAACAACATGCTGAATGAGCATGGATGCAAATAAGTGGTGTGAAGGTGCGTATGTGCAATAAAAAGAAAAACTGCACTGGGTAAATAAGTTCGGACCAATCATTTGCATACTGACCTGGTTGACAGCTTTAATGCACAATCACCATTTTAGATCGACTAACTATAATACTGTGTAAGATTTACATTCGAACTGAAAGCATAAATCTAGACTATGCTCTGCCAGTTTCAGAGCAAAATGGCAGTGCTAAATCCCACCAAAATGAAAGCTTGCTGATTTTAGGTTTGAAAATGATGAAAATTCATATTAATCTAAATAAATAAATAAAAGCACATGAAAATGTAAATATTAGCATTGTATTTTTTAAGTATACTGTAAAATAATTGTGCTGTTACTTAATACTTGTTTTTTTAATACTATACATTATAAATAGTTATTATTTTATTTAAAAACAAATTAAATAAAGTGCAATAATACTATTATTACTACTATTAATCATTTTATTTTTATAGTTATAATTATTGTCACATTATGTGCAGTGTAAGCAACAAACCATGTTCCTCTCCAGCACTTGCAGTTATGGGATTAAGGTCATCTCTGCTCCAAAAATTAAAGTGTTTTTGGACCCTTGGGTACTAGTAAT